TGCTGGGTGGTGAGTCCACTGTTGCGGCTCGTTGACGCCAGTCAGTAAGACGCACCTGAGGTGTGAGGTGCGGCGCTGGCGTGTGAGGTGCTGGGTGATGCACTGTGCCCAGAAATACTGCTGCTGCTGCCACGGTTTGCACTGGCATTAGCAGCCCCACTGGCACTAGAGTGGCACAGGAGAAACAACAGTGCCGTCCAGAGTGGGTTCACTTCTGGCCCACCCAACCAGTCTTTCATGGTGTGACTGTTTCCTACTTCTGTTAGAAACCGCAATACGGGCGCTGCCAGCTCAGGAGACAGTGGCGGCCTGTTTGCTGAGGATGACGTGGGTTGGTTGTATGAGTATGAGCGTCTCTCTGCCTGTGCGGAGAATCCAGCAGGCAAGGGAAGGTCTGCACTGACCAACAGGTTGCAGCAAAGGTCGGCTAAGCTGCGAACAAGCAAAGAAGGCAGACCAGAGTCCAACAGCTGCTGAATGGCACCGGGAGACTGGGACGCAGCTGCCAGGGTCACCAACTGGCTTTCTGACAGCGAGATGGGCACAGTTACTGGTGTCCGAGCATGTTTGGAGTCATCTGTGAGGGAGGCGGCACTGTTTAAATCATGCTGCTTCTTGCCATCGTCCGTCATGGCCATACGGCACTGTGCATTTGTCTGGACAGCAGGGGGAGCCACGATACCCATCCAGGACATGAGCAGAGAAAAGTAACTAGGGTGGATATGGCACATGGAACAAAGCAAGCTGTCCACAGCCTTCTTTAAAACGATGTTAGAGGGCAAAGACATCGACCAGTTGTACAACAACCTACAAGAGACAGAGAAAAAGACAAGCAGCACTTGAATTAATAGTTCAGATTGCCTAAAAACAGCCTCATGATTTACTAATGCACCGAATTGTTCATGGAAAAGGCTGCCGCTGTTTTATTTGCTCCATGTACACAGCGAAGGTTGTTTCACTTTGTTCTACTCGGTACGCATTAAGTATTCATACCTGAAGAGAGAATGAAATATAGAAGAGTGCGGGAAAGAAAAAGCAGAATATGTACTTTCAGCCTTTCCCAGTGCAGAGCACCAAAACGCACCTCGGGCATAAACACGCATTCATCCAAAACTCTTGCTTGAACATTTTGTATTGAAAGACTGTAAAAAGATAGTGTGCTTGCAGACTCACTCGAAAAGCTCTCTGTTGAGCAGACCGGGCAAGTCGTAGTCCACAGGCAGCTCATAACTGTGCCATAAGACGGAGGCCACGCAGTGCAGATGTGATGGGGACGGCATGAGCAACCCATATTCCCGTGAGGGCGGAGCGCTTGGACCCACATAGCTCAACGGAGAACTCTGCTTCAGGGCAGCAACCCGGGACGAGTCGTACACCCACTGTAGCAGAGCCTGGATCCTACCACACAATCACAACCATAACCCAAGGCATCACAAACCACTATATATATATATATATATATATATAGAAGGCCATTCTACCCACAAACCTAATTTCTAAGATTATGGAGAAAAAATAAATAAAAAGTCAGAGTCAAAATTCTGAGATAAAAAGTAAATTATGGCAAGTCAATTTTGTGGGTGTTAAAAGATACTATGAGATACTAAGCGACAAAATGTCAATTACAACAAAACTGTCAACTTTGTATGGCATAACTTTGACATTTTATATCATAACTTCAACTTTTTTTATATATTTTTTATATATTTTTATATATCTTATAATGACTTTGCTTCAAAATTACGACTTTGCATCTCAATTTTGATTTACATCATACTTATGATTTATCAAAGCATGACTTTTACTTATATCTGATAGGGTCTCCCATACTATAAAAGTAAAAAAAAAAAAAACATCAATAAAGTAAATACTCAGCTTTATGACCCACATGTATAGAGAATCAACATATATGAAACAGGCTCTGCAAAGAGTCTAAGATCAAACTATGAACACTTCAAACAAGCTCCATGAGGAAGCTGCATGATTGAATTTTCCATTATGATGTAAAGAACAGACCTGTCTTTGGTACCGGGGTCCTGAGTGGTGCCTAGCTGGTAGAGAATATCTATAGTTGAGTCTGATGACAGGCCATTTAACCTCCCAAAGAGCAGCGGACTGTTTAGATCTACAACAAAAAAACAAAACCACCAATCAGATAAAAGGAGAGGCCAACAAAATCATGATGTCAGATCATTAAAGGGATGGACAAACTCAAACTCTGCGAATTGACACATAACACAAATCAGTGTGATATTGCTTGACATTCGAATAGCAGTCAGGCATTAAAGAGAAACAATCTTTATAGTCTTACTGGCCAAATCAGTGCCAGAAGCAGCACAGTTACGCAGCAAGATGTCAATGAGTTTGAGGCCTATGCGTGTGGACTGAAGGCCGATTTTCACCAGCACCGCCTCAATGTTGGGCGAGTGCATCCCGCAGTATGGGGACATGAGGAGGGCGGCGCAGGTCTGCAGGAGGTTTGCAGTGGGAGCAGCAGCACTGGCCATCATGGCCTCCAGATCAGAAACATGAGTCAAGCAATGATGCAGCAACCGTAACCAGCCAATGCTGAGAGAGAAAGAAAGAAAAAAAAATGAGATATTATAAAATACAGAGGCTTGAAACAGTAAATAAAACTACTACGATTATTTTAGATGTTACAAATGATTTCCAATACCTGGTTTTAGAGACCTGGTCCTCAGAGGGCAGGAAAGGATTGTTTACAGTGGCAGAGGAAGTGTTTCCAAAAGCAGTCAGGCCCAATAGCTTAATCTGCGAGAGGCCCAGTGTGCTGGCGTCCCGCGGCCGGTGCAACCTCAAACACACAGCAGACGCCACCTCTGCCTTTACCAGCTGGAACTTAATGAACGTGAGACCACTAGTGATGACTGGGGTTGACAGGGGAAGCATGTTTACACCATCTGCACTGATCTCCACAGACACTGAGGATGGACATGCTGGGAAAGAAAGAGAAAAATAATACTTTAAAAAAGATTTTAGGATAGTCCTTACTAGCATAAAAAGCTTCATATATGGGCCAAATATAATATACTGCTGTGTCAAGTGGGGACCAATAATACTGCACTGTGTGTGCACACTCACTAGCAAGGGATGCCAGGTGAGGCTGTATGTGAATCTCCTTGAGCAGAACGGCAGCAGGCAGGTGGATTGTGAGATCGCACCAGGCCTCTTCAGGAAGGAATATGTAGGACCAAGCGGCAGAACGGGCCCGTCGATGTGGGGGTGTGGCCTGCAGCAGCACTTCTGCCGGCTGTGCTGTGGGACTGCTAGAGGTGATGGTGCCTGCAAGGGAACAGCATAAACTATGAATATAAATACATTTTAATACTTAAACAGACGTTTATATGAAAAGACGGGGCTTATGACTCAAAGCGCGCTTGCTGTACCAAGAGGGGCGAAGTTGTGCAATCCTTCTGCATTGTCTGGTTCTGAGGTAAGCACTCGTGCTTTCAAGCTGCCATCTGCTGCTTTACCAGGCCCAGAGTCTAGAAACTTCATGATAGTGGACACCATGCTGCGCGCAGTGTTCACGATGGCTCGTGTGCTGGTGACCATGTTGTTACAGATGAGCTGCACGCCACCTAAATGCACACACACAGAGTCAGAACATACAGACCAGCTCAAACAGAGTTTTATCTCTTTAGAAAGTGTTACTGTTGGCATACCCATGTCATGGAAGGCTTTCAAAGCCTCGCTGGTGTCAAGCACTCTCAAAATAAACCACAGTAAAGGCTCAGAGAGCTGACACGTTGATAGAGATCCCTGTAAAAAAATTAAAAAAAACACTCAACACTGACAAGATGCAATGACAATCTTTATATACTGTATGTCTATCCTCTAGAATGTGAAAATTATTTGATGTGTTCATGTTTTTTTTCCCCAGTCCATAACATACTAGAATAGACCACTGACCGTTTTGTGGTCTCTCAGTTTCTCTGTGACGAGTCTTACCTGTCGGCCCATATACCCACAGGCCATGTAGGTGAGAATGGGCTGCAGCATGACCTGGACGGATGTGGCTCTTTTACTCAAAGTAGTCAAGATGGTGAAGAGGCCATCACCCACGGAGATGGCATCCAACCCACCATGAAAGTTCTCATGTTTGGTTAGGTGAAGCCCACTAGCACCTAGAAAGAGAGAGAAAAAAAAAAAAAACATTAAAATTTGTTGACACTGATAGCATTGTGGGCAGCGCGGTGTCCCGAGTTCGAATCCCGGCTTGAGGACCTTTCCTGATCATGCCCCCCTCTCTCTCCCACTTCGCTTCCCATCAGCTCTACACTTTCCTATCATAATATAGGCAAAAACGCCAAAAATAAATCTAAAAAAAAATATACATATTTAATTAAAGAAGTTTTTGAAATAAGTCTCTTATTCTCACCAAAGCTGTATTTAATGGATTAAAAAAAAACAGTAATATTGTGAAATATTATTAAAATCCTTTGTGAAATTGTAAAATTCTCTATAATCACCTTAGATAAGATTAAATGAGTCTTTGCTGAACAAAATAATTAATTTCTTAAAAAAAAAAAAAAACTTTTGAACAGTAATATAATGTACAGTGGGGCAAAAAAGTAACTGTGCATATTTATTATGTATATATAAATACACACACATGCATGTTTATATTTCAGAAAAATCTGTTATGTTTATTAAATATATTTATATATAATATAAATATATACATGTAAATACATGTAAATATTATCAAAATATATACTGTATGTGTGTCTCTTTATATATACATAACAAATATACACACATATATTATATAAACAAAAACTTTTATTTTGGATGAGATTAATCTTTGCCCAGCACTAAATGTTATAATATAAAATTTTTCTTACATTTTATTAATTTAAAATACATTTCCGTACCAATTATCATGGCCATGGCGCTGCTGTTGCACTGCCCCAGTGCCGACAAGATCTGACTCATAATCTGCTGATTGGCCAAAACCAGGTCTGCCACACCCGCAGCTGGTCCCTGGTGCTGCGCTGTGCCCGCCGCCCCACACTCTTTGCTTCCACACACTTTTTCTTCATCCGACACACTGTCAGTGGCTCCACCGGCTGGAGGCAGCCTCCCACTGAACTCCCGATCACCTGACAGCGGCAGCATCACCAAAGCATTGACCAGCTTCAGGAGGTCAAACATCAGCTGGTCTCGTGTGGTCTCACCACACACAGCCTTAGCATCGCCAGGGCGGATGATATTGGCGAACAGGCCCCCGAAACAGGCACGAGCGCCCACAGAACTGTCAGAACCGCTGCGTGAGATCACCTTATCTGAACAAGTGATGTAGTGGTGAACCAGAAAAGTGATTGATTCGATGACAGCCAAGATGGTGGTCACAGAAACCACCTCAAAGTTCTGCTCCAGGGTGAACTCCAAAAGCTTCACCTGTGCATCTAATGGACCCTGACCAGACTGGAATGGACCCCTAGAAGCAGATGAAAACACAAATAAAATGATTTAAAACAAGCACTAATGTTTAACAAGCACCAGTTTAATTACATAAACGCTGAATTAATAATCTACCTCTCCGTAGACAGGATGTGCAACAGTTTAAGCAGAAATTCGCTGAACATCTGTGGACATGTGGAGGACAGGTGCACCTGCAACCTGGTTAAAAATTCCTGCAAGGCTTGTGTTGCAGTGGGGCCGACCTGGAAAGAGAGATGGAGAGGGGTACGTGAGGCATTTTCCAAATATATCATCATGAAACCAGTCATGCATGTACTCTTCATTAAGCTCAATACCTGTGAGCTGTGCTGGCTGGTGCCGTGAGGGTTTCCTCCAGACAGGAAGCGCACAAACACGTGCACAAGTGTGGGGTCAGACACCATCTGCTGGGCTGTGCTCTCCTGCACACCCATCCCACTGCTGGAGGCTACAGATGCAACATACACATTATCAGCCGAGTTAATCCGAAAGTGTGTCACCAGACTGTTTGCTTTTATAATAAGGTTGTGGAGGGGCAACACAACACAGATCTGCTGAGCTGGCGGGATTCCCGAAGAGAAAACCCACATGTATAGAAATGCAGGTCTCCCCGTGGGAACACCCACACATCTCAGGAACAAAGCCAGGCTTGGCCATTTAGATACTCACCACTAGCAGGCATATTGGTCATGAGGGTGAGACTGTGCAGGACAAGACACCATGTTCTCAGAGAAGTGTTGGAGTACCAGGCCAGCACTGACAGGAAACTGCTGATGGAGGCTGAGAGAGACAAGAATTATAGTTAATTATAGGCATTACAAAATCCACACTGAATTTAATGAGTGACCTGATTTTTAGCATTGCACTCCCTCATTGTTTTCTTTTATCTCTTATGCATTTATTTCTTTAAAGTTAATCTTTTTTAAAATAGGTATCTTTTTTAATTCCATACTTCATTGCATATTTTGTTTTTGCACTGTTTTCTTTGTACGCAGCTAATCAAATTATGAGATGCTACAAATACTGCTCACTTCAGTAAACATGTTTACATGTACAAATTTTCCAAACAGATCATTTGGGTGTAGGTAAACATAGCTAGTGAGACTAACACTTTTTAAAGCTTGAAAAAATGATTTCAGCAGGTTACTAGCTATTTGTAGTAACACATAAAACCAACTGTTCAATTTAAGATCCTGTAGAAACTTTGCCATCAACAGTCCAAGCTCCTTAAAATATACGCTAATATCCACAGATCCAAGTGTTCTATCATTTGGTGAATGTCACACCTTGGTTAAGGGGGATTGTGGGCACTCTGCTGGCGTTAAAGAGGAAGATGTCTGAGCCGCTCTCCTCTGAACCTCCAGAGCAGGAACTCAAACTCAGAGTCAACCACAGCTGCAGCAAAGACTCCAACTAGACATACAAAGAGTTAAAGATGGTGTGATTGTGTAACTTCTAATAACCTTTCGTAAAAAACAAAATTATTCCGGAAGTTAGATTTTAGGGCAAACTCAGTGAATGCAAGTGACAAAACCAGACGTTACCCGTACCTGAACATGATGCACTTGCAATAAAGAGAAAAGTTTGTTGAAGCAGGTGCTCAACATGGGAATGGAAGAGGGTTGTACCATCAGACTGCTGCTGGGGGGAGAGCTGTGGAACCCCCCACGCAAAAGAGTGTCGTCTGTCCCATTTGCAGACTGGGCCACTGACACAGAAGAGGAACAAAAGATAATGAGGAGAAAGGACGATACTAGTCAAATCATTTCAGGAAAAAGAAAAAAAAAAACACAGGGTTCCCACACCTTTACACCAGTAATATTTACTTTACCAATTATTTCATTTTAAAAAAAAAAGAAAAATTGTAAAGCTCATAATGATAAATTTCTGCAAAAAGAAATGTTTTAGAACTGATTCTGACATTGAAAAATGTATGCTCATTTTACACTATTCAATATTTTATTAATAAATTGACAACGTTTACAATGCTGGAAATAATACATAAATAATAAACAATAAATACAATTTCCTTGATATTGCCAGATTTTCCTTTACCGTAGGAACCCTGAACACATGCTTTTGTGTGTGTACCAGATGGAGATGTGGATGTTAGCGCCTGCAATATTGCATCTGCCTCCAGTGTTGCCATCATCTTCAGCATGAGTTCTGCCTGCTGTTCTAATCCCACCTCCAGTCGAGCATCCAGTGCTGGGATAAAAATTAAAGTACTTTAGCACTCAGATTTTATTATACTTTTATTTTATATTATATACTTTTTATTTTATTTATTTATTTTTCTTCTCACCCTGAGACACAGACACTGAGAGGTTCTGAGATCCCGGCTTCTCTGTTGTGGCAGCCGCAGGGGGTTTGGACACGGGTATGCCCATACCCCCTGTGTAGGGGTTATAACTGTAAGAGCCGTAGTCAGCACCCCAGTAATCGTACCAGGTACTGCTGATCGGCTGCAAGGGAGAACATAAAAAAAAAAAGAAAACAACAAAAACAATCTCAGATACTCATCTCTGAGAAAAACTGAAAAATACTTTACTGGAAAAGGGGTTAAAACATTGGCTTTGTGTAAATCATACAATCATACTTTAACTACTAATCTTTGATTACATAATGCATGCAGTATAGGGGTGAAACAGTTAACTCTACAGTTCACTTCCCACAGTTCTTAATACATGTTTATACCATCTAACAACGAGAATAAATGTTGTGTGTGAATTATAATGTGTTTGCTTTCAATAGTAATTATGGTTATTTTCTGTCACTAAATCATTGTACTTTAAGACATTTCACAATGTAAATGCCTGTGAACAGTGTGCTGTATTTTCCAGCAATTGTGGTAATAAGGTTTTTTTGAAAAGAAAATGAGTAATTGGATGGATATGAGAAAGTCAAGAGGTTAACATATGGGTTAACGCAGCCCATAATGTGCTAAAATAAAACAGTTACCACAGAACCATGAGAAATTGTAACCATTACACCCCAAATGCTGAAAGACAAAAAAAGGGAAAGAGAACGAGGTCCATACCTTAAAAACCTTGGCGGCGAGTGGATCTTTTTCCAAATCAATATCTAAAGGATCAATATCAACATCCATCAAGTCTTGTAGCAAGTCAAAGTCAATGTCTTTATCTTTTTCCAAAGATGACAGTGGAGGAGCACCTTTGGGCAACGAAAAGACGTTTAATATTGCAAGAGCAGCGTACCAAGAGAAGCAACTACAAAGACAGCCTTCTTTAGGACGTCCAGCCGTCAAACTCCTCTCAGAAAGACAGGGTGCCAGAACAGTGGATCGTTGACCCATTTTGAATGAATTGATTCAATGATAAAATCACCAGCAGCTACAGGTTTTGCATGTATTTAGAGTCAGAATCATCTGCACTGTTCCAACCTCCTGTCCACTGCATTATACCTCTATTACATATTACAAAAAAGCAAACACAAACCAAATATACATGCAGCTCATCTAAACAAATAAACCTCAGAAACAAAAGAAAGGTGAGGGTCCGTGTGAGGTGACGTGATATTCGGGCGGGGTTACCAACGCACTTTGGAACACAGAGGACGTCCCGGGTGTACCTGCGATGATATCAGGTCCCAGAGGCTCATCGATGGTCTCCACCAGTGGGATGGGGGTCGGCTGGGGGAGAGAGTCATCGGAATCGACCACTACAGAGGAAGAGGCGGCACCGGCCTCATCAGCCCCCGCCCCCTCCATCCCATCCACACACACTGGAGACAACAGCTCTCCTGCAAACAGATGACAACATCTGAATATAAAACATAGACATATAAAACATGAATGACTGAGAACATCTTTTCAAACCTAAAACACACACACCTGCAAGGATGTCCTGCAGCATGCAGGTGAGCGAGTACTGGGCCCAGGCTCCACCCCATGAGATGTCCCCGCGGTTAAAGTCCGTTCCCACCAGTAACAGCAGTAACCTCTCCAGCTGCTGTTCTGAAACCACCTCACACAGGTGGATTGTGGGTCGTGTTGCATTTGCTATTCTGGCCAATACCTGAGCAGGTGGGTGAATGAGATTTAGAACATTTAAGATAGATATGGTCTATAACAAACATTATCGTCCAAAAGTTTGAAGTCCGGAAGCTTTTTTTTTTAAAGAACTTAATACTTGTATTCCGCAAAGGTGCATTAAATTTATCAAAAATGACGGGAAACTTTTCTAACGTTTCTATTTTCATCCGTTTTTAACTTTCCATTCATCATAGAATCCTAAAAAAATTTTTTCCACTGTTTCCACAAAAATATCAAGCAGCTCAACGGTTTTTAACATTGATAATAATAAGTAATGTTTCTTGAGCACAAAATCAGCATATTAGAACAATTTCTAAAGCATCATGTGACAATGAAGACTGGATTAACAGAAATTTCTTTCTGTGATGGCAACAGCAGAAATTAATTTAACACATTTAAAAAGAAAACAGCTAATTTAAACCGTACTATTTCACAATATTGCTGTTTTACTGTATTTTAGATCAAATAAATGCATTCTACGTAAGCTCAGGAGACAACTCTGAAAAAATTATAAAAAAAATGTAATAGACCCCAAAACTCCTGAATGGTACTGTATCAAAATGCTTTCAAAACAAGCACTTTTTTCCACTTCTGTAAGTGAAAAAGTATGTTGCACCTTGCAGACGAACAGCAGCAGGTCTGCGTGACAGGTAAAGTCCATGGAGAGGAGGAAGAGAGCGAGCTTCTGGACGACGCAGATGCAGCGCTCATGAGACAGCGTGAAGGGCAGGAGCTCCACCTCAGGGGTCTCTTTTGCCACAGATGCCTCTGAGTCCAAGGTGGAGCGTGGCCATTCGGCTGTCCGCCTCAAACGGATCAGATCTTTGAAGTGCTGGGGAAAACAAGAACCACAGTGTTTACTTTTTCACCGAATGTTGTTCCACACCCACCCCTAAGGGACAAGGAGTTAACAAAAGTTTGGATTCTCACCTTGGACGTGGCTTGTTTGAGTTTGGCCTGTTCCACCAGCAGCTTGTAGGAGGAGCCTTTGTTGCTCTGAATTTTCTCTTTCTCGATTTGCTCTACTAAAGCCTTCTGTTTGGCTTTCAATAAATTCAACTGCTGCAGTGAAAGGAGAATTGATCAACATCCATACTATACGTAACAAGGAAAAGATTTCAAGTGCAGATATATAAGCACAGGATGTTTGTGCGAGACACATGTACCTGTTTATGGTGGACTAGCTGTTTGCGGATCTTGCGTGAATACAGACGATCTAAACTGCTGTTGTTGCCTTTGGCAGATCTGCTTGGGTTCTGAGACTGCAGACTGTTGTTTATGAAACTCCACTGGTTCCCTGGTATGAGTGGAAAGAGGATGCACATTACCGTTTAAAAATTTGGGGTCAGTTTTTTTTTTTTTTTAAAGAAATTTATATTTTTATTCAGCAGGGACACATTAAATTAATCAAAAGTGACAGTAAAGCCATTTTTACAAAAGATATTCATATTTTAGAATATTACTATTAATATTTTTATCTAATAAATAGAGTCTTGGTGAGCATAACAGACTTTAGAAACACTGAAGAAACATTTTAAAATTCTTACCAACTACAAAAACAGTGGATTTTCAGTTGTAATACTTGACCAAACTTAATAATTTCACCTGTAAAAGATCTTTCTCTGTCTTTAGCCCCTAGAGGTTTCTTAGCTGCAGTGGCTTCATCTTCCACACTGGCCACATAGTCGAGAAGTCGAGAGACCAGCATGACCGCCCAGCTGATCATGGGGATATCCAACACGCCTATAAACACATACAAATCTGTAACATAACCATAAACGCACATAGACACACATTACAAAAAAAACTCATTCTCAAACACGCACCTTCTGTCCTGCGGGTCTGTGCTGCACTAGTCGGTTGCAGAGGGGATAACAGTGTGTCCAGAAGGTTCAACAAACCCTCCAGAACCCCACTGTTACTCAAAGATCTTTGGCCAATACAGGACAGCAACATAAACACCCTGAGGAAATGAAAAGACGGACATAAGGAGGTCTGAGTATCCTTAGGAATAGTTCTGATAATGTTATACAACTTCTGCAAGAGTGTGTTGTTTGTGTTACCTGTCCTGAGGAAAGATGAGCAACTGCTCAGAGTTGTAGAGCTCCTGAAGGACGTTGGACAGGAACTGGCCCCACCACCTCTCGCCTCCACACAGCTGCACCAGCAGCAGACCAGCATGCAGACGGATCTTAGGCGTTCCACTGATGCACAGCTGCTTAAAGAGCTCCTCACACGCCTGGGAGTGAAACGTGTTCTGCAACACTGAGGGCACAGAGTGACCTGAGTGTGAGAGAGAGAGAGAGAGAGAGAGAGAGAGAGAGGGAAAACATTCGTTCGGACATTTAAACTAAAGAAATGCAAAAAGGTCAATTCAAATGTAATCTAATCTAGTCATTTAAAAAAAAGTGAGGTGGTGTTGGGAACGGCTGCCTCCCTCACCATTACAGCAGTGCAGCAGGCTGAGCAGTGTGTCCAGTAGGTATCTGATGATAGTTCGGAGCTGCTCCGTAGAAGAGTTCTGGACCAGCTCTCTGGGGTTGTAGCTCTCGGGCAGGTGTTTCCGGGTGGCTCCCAGAGACACGCGCAACCTCTGGACAGCGTGGTGAGCCAGGTTGAGCTGCAGTTGGAGCTGAATGCAGTCTTGGTAGGCAGAGAAAACACGGGAATCCTCTTCAACTGCTTTATCGGGCTTGCGCAGGAAGTACTGTGCATTATTAGCGCTGTTAAGAGGTGGCAGGTCGATGTTCTGAAGTAGCGTCTCAAGTCGATGACAGGCCAGATTATACCTAAGAGATTAGCATATTTAATTAAGATCTTTCAAAAAAAATCTTGCTGACCCCAAAATTTTGAATGGTAGTAAACGCCAGTGGCAGCTCATTTAAAATATTGAACGCCAATGGCAGCTTTTCAGCCTCACTGACCTGCACTGAATGTCTTCCTGCAGGGCCACCATCATTGACAAATGTTGATCCAGATCTGGCTGACTGGCAGCTTCGCTCTCTCCCCTCAGAGGGTCATGCATCAGCTTCAGTTCACTTTCCCATGGCAGGATATAGGTGTGGCCGTAATAGAAACCCAATGGGATTTTAGCCCGGGCATTAGTGCTGCCGTATCGACCAATCACAGTGATCTGGGGGAGGGGCACAGAGTGAGTGACAGTGATGTCTCTATATAAAAATGATATTCTCTGCGCTAAAGCTTATAGAAAGCAGACTGCTATGAGCCCTGTGCATATTTGATTATGCTAAATGTGTATAAACCTTCATGAATCTGCAGACGGGAGGAGGCAACAAGTCGTGTAGAATCAGTGAGTGTGTGCTGATATCTGTGGCCACCACGAGCCGCCTTCCATCCACCTCCTCCCCGAGAGTCCAAATGTCGATGGAAAGGGAGGCCAAGTCAGCGCATGTGGGGATCAGTGCATCTGTCAGCAACACCGGCCGGCCGAAATCTAGAGTCACAAACCGCCTTGCACCTACAAAGTGACATTCAGTCTTTACGTCAAAGATCACACCAGTTAAATGATGTTGGCAAACCAAAACATATAGCAAATGCACCTCACAGATTGAGGATCCGTAATGAGGAAGAAACAGAGTATGTTCTACAGCAGTGATTATCAACCAGGAAGCCAGGGCTCACTAGGGGGACTCAGCAAACTACTGTGTGGGCCTCAAGATGACTCAAAAAGACAAAACTGGTTCGAAAACAACACAAAATCAAGGTATTTCATATTATAAATTTTTTCAACTTTCTTGAAAAACTTGGATATATGAGCAAGCCAAGTGTGATTTTTAAAAGTGTGATTTCTAAACATGGAAAAGTCGTGTGAATAAAATTGTAAATTTTGTTTTTTTGTTTTTATTTTTTAAGATTTTTGGCATTTTTGATAGGAAATGATAGGAAATCTAACCCTTCATTATGATAGGACAGTATGTAGACAGAAAGCGAAGTGGGACAGAAAAGGGGGGGCGGGTTCGGGAAAGGTCTGCGAGCCGGGACTCGAACTCGGGACACCCGAGGCACAACAGAGATATTTGCCGGCGCGCGCTGCCCATGAGACTATGACGCACTTCTTCAATAACAGTACAATGCTGCAGACAATGGAGGGCCTTGGAGTCAATCTGGTTGAGAACCAATAGTTACTGAGGGGGGACATCAAATATGATTCCGGTTTATATTTCGATTTTTTTGTGTTTTTAGCATTTTAATTAAGTCACCCTTGGAAGTTTGCTGGGGCTCTCAGTGGGCCCTGGCCCCCTGGTTGAGAACCCCAGTTCTAGTGTGAAGGGGGCTAATGTGAAGTACCTGAATGCATTCGTTCGATTATTATGGACTGATTTGGTGGAGGCTGTAGAAAGTGAGAGGCTTGTGAGATTGCCAATGCCAGTCCACTTCCTATGGGGTTCTGCAATGACAACACACACACATAAGCTGAACACAACCCACAAGTTCAACTACAAAAGGTAAATAAAACAACGCACAGCCCCTTACAGGAAAATAACATCTTTTATGCTACCTTACCTATTAGCCTCTGCTATTATGCAAAAGCAATGCATATTACTAATCAAAAATTAAGTTTTGATATATTTACAGTAGGAAATTTACAAAATATCTTCACGGAACATGATCTTTACTTAATATACTAATGATTTTGGCATAAAAGAAAAATCAATAATTTTGACCCATACAATGTATTTTTGGCTATTGCTACAAATATACCCCAGCGACTTAAGACTTTGAGGTTTTGTGGTCCAGGGTCACATATTAGTATATTTAATGACAGAAAATGAAACACTGCTAAATAATAATCATTATACAAGCAGAAGGAGGTTTTCAGAACTTACTGGTTTGGCTTTCTGTGTGTTTTTATTCTGTGCTGAAAGGTTCACAGGTGGAGGCTCAATGACGGATCCCGGGAAGAGCTGAGCCAGTTCCACACTAATAGCCGCAGACACTGCCTCATTCGGTGGGGTGAGAGGAGGCGTCATGAACAGCGGTGTAGTTTTAGGAGTGGGCGGGATGACGTCAGAGGGGTGAATGAAGAAGCCTGGGGCGGAGGACGGGTTGGATGGTACCGAGTTGACAACGCCTGATGCTGCAGTGGCTGCTGAGGTGGTCTGGTGAAGTTTGGCCTCCAGCTTCGCCTTCTGTTTCATAAGATAAACAATTACATGCAGTCAAAGTACTGAATTAATCAAGACATCGAGATTATTAAAATGAATAAAGAATGTATTCATGTATGACCTGCTGCTGGAGTTTTAGAAGCTGTTGCTGCTTCTCCTGAAGAACTTGAAGCTGCTGTTCGGCAGACACCATTGCATGAGACAGGGACTGAAGGGCCACCTGTGCAGCTGAGCTAAGGGCCGTGGACGCCTCGCCGACGGTCCCAGCAGACAGCCCTGTCACTGTGGGCGTCACGCCAAAGGTGCTCACTGTAGAAGGACGTAAAGGGAAACAAGCACAGATTTTAGCACTAAAGGTGTGGCCACCTTTACTGGTGCTCAGCGAAATTCTGCGTACAAAATCCAGTAATTTAATTAGAATCAGATTGGGTTTTTGCAGATTTTGCAAAAGGTTAAAGTTGGTCATGCAAATTGTCAGAAGTTACTTGCTTGGCTGCTTGGTTTGAAAGTGACATCGAAGTGAGCTGTGCCTCATGCTACACTTTTGACAATGGAATTTTATTGCCTTCAAAACTTCATGTAGTGTGACCACACCTTAAATATGAGGTCCACGATGACACGGTTGGTGGTAAAAGAAACAAGATGCGAAAGAGAGGAAAAGGAAAGTAGGATATGTACCGGTGAACATACTTGCATCATCCCTCTCCACCCTGGTGCCATCACTGGTGGAGACGCAAGTAAAGTGCAGGGGTTCAACCTCCAGCAGGCCGGTCAGAGCAGTAAAACTGCCCTCTGCCGCCCCACTGCTGTTCACCTTTCCATTACCTGACATTAGACACAACAACCATTACATGTATGTCTTTCCTATTTTGATATTTATTGATGAATGTAAGTGCATGAGGAAAGAATACATTGACACACCTGAGAGAATATCGGACAAGTCGATCTCATCCGACTGGACCCCAATGCTGCTGCTAAAGGCATTCTTACAGGAAGACCCGCTCACCTCCAGGTCAAACAGTACTGGGTCAAATGGAGACCCATACAGACCATATCTGAATAGAGAGGACCATGACAAAACCATTTCATTTCCTTAAAACGATCACTTCTACATGCTCAGAAAAAGCTTTTTTGTTCCAAGTATATAAAGCTGACCTGGTCTGCAACAGCGCCTCAAGTGGAGTCAGGCGGTCCTGCAGCTGCCGAGAGACAGCAGTGAGCAGAGAGGCGCAAGCGGTACTGCAGCTGGCCAGGTCCTCATCTTTCACATAATTTAACAGGACAAAGTACCAGAAGACAGATCCTGAAAGACAGTAACATAAGTATTTTAACATTTAAAATTAAATAAGTGCATATTTATTTCTGCACAATTAAAAAACCTTTGAACAGTAGTATAGCTTAATAAATAGTTTACATTTTTTGAATGAAACGGTCTTATCACTATAACAAAATTAAAAGGCACTATACATTTTCAACATTTACAATAAAAAAATTACCTCCTGTGGCAGCAGCAGGCAAATAAGGCATATTATCCAGAAGAGCTTTAAATAGAGCCTGGCCAAAACCCTGCTGACCAGGGTCTCCTTTACCGGTACTGAAATGTCAGAGACATTTATCCATTAGACTTAATGAACAAGACATCACTGTATCTGCACATGTTAACTGGACAGTCTAGTTCATTAGTTCTGCAATGAGACTACAAGACTGAAGATCAGAAAAATACAGTGAGGTTGCAAACTCACCTAATACAAAGTGCAAGAAAGCGAGAGCATTTATGAGCTATACTGCGTCCAGCCTCAAAGAAACATGCCCTGATGATTTCTGTCAGCCGTCTCCTAGTTTTAGTCAAAAGCCCCTCCTTCCCCTCTCTCAAACTAAAGGACAAGGTATTATAAAATTCATTAAAAGAGGCAAGAGATAAAATCGAGAGACTAAAAATACTAGCTCACTGTGACACCTCACCTGCAGGGTCCGTTGGAGTAAACCCCTGCCAGCCAGCAGAGGATGTCTAAAATGAGACTCTGACAGTGTTCTGAACTCTGTCCGTCTTCTCCATGCTTACACAAACCTCTTAGCAGCTTTTCATGGAGCTCAGGAAACTGAAGCATTGCACAGCGTTGCACTCTGGGAAATAAAAGCAGACAGTCAGCACATTCAGACAATGGACTGGATATTGTATTCTTTAAAATACCTCACTGAAACAAGGTAATTCCTTTCTTAATGTGCAAACTAATACATGCATAGCATACACTACCATTCAAACATTTGAGTGTACGATTGTTTACATACTATATGTGTGTGTACTGTGTATATTTATTATGTATATATAAATACACACATTTTTTTTTATATTTGTATGCATATATATCTATACTTGTATATAATTTATATTATATATAAATATAAATATTTTATATATAAATCTTACATATTTTTCCTTAATATATACATGTATGTGTGTGTATTTATATACATAATAAATATACACAGTACACACACATATATAGTATGTAAACAAATTTTTAATTTGAATGCGATTAATCACGATTAAATGATTTTGCAGCCCTAGATCAAATCTGACAACAGAGATATTTGTTACAAAAAATATATATTTCAAAGAAATTCTGTTCTTTTGAACTTTCTATTCATCAAATAATTCTGGAAAAAATGTATCAGTCACCACAAAATATTAAGCAGCACAACTGTTTTCAACATTGATAATAATAAGAAACATGAGCATCAAATCAGCATATTAGAATTATTTCTGAAGGATCATGTGACATTGAAAAATTCTAGCCTTCACAGTAATTAATTATATATTAATATATATTAAAATAGAAAACAGTTGTTTTTAATATATCAGAATTTTACAGTTTTACTGTACTTTTGATTAAACAAATGCAGCTTTGGGGAGCATAAGAGACAGAACATTCAAAATCTTACCAACTCCAAACTTATGAATGGTAGTGTATAGTGCATACTTTTATCTCTTACCGTTCTTTGGGTACAGACGTTTTCTTAAATCTCCTAATTGTGACAGACACTTCCTGGAGCAAGTCACAGCCCCGCAGGTTATCAGGCTTTTTAGGGGCAGACTGAGGATCTGCTTTAGATGTGGAGGCCTTTTCCTGAAAAGAAGCAAGATTTTATGAAAATTAGAGCTGCCGTGTTGGTCATCATTTGGCCTTTACCTCCATGCAAAGAGCACGAATCAAGTGAAGAGTTATTTCTTTTATGAAGCAATGCAGCTATACAGCCACTAGAGGGGTCTGTATAGCAGTTAGACAACTGAATATCACCCACAAACCAGCATTCAAAGCTATGAGGTCAGTTTTGAAATGGCTTGAATGAACACAAAGGATTACACACTTCAGTTTAAAATGGCCCAAAAGTCAATTACAGTTCAAGTCAGTGTTTGTACTGTACCTTGGTGGCCTGAGCCCTCTGCAGCAGGGATGAGAGCGAGTGAGCTTTACTACTGTGAGGTTTGGCTGAGGGCATCCGCACCACTGGCCTCAAGCTCTCATCCAGACCCTTATCATTCACTGCCTTAATGTGCGCCAAGAACGAACGATACTTTCCCCCTGCCATGCCTAGAAAGGGGAATGAAAGGAAAATTTATGTTGCATATTCACACCAGTTAAACTGCAGCTCTGCACTGTTTTTTTTCTGTTAGTCTTCTAGCACACTGCAGGATGGGAGGAAGTGGCTGCTATAAATGACTTGTGATGACTGTTTGGGCGAACCTTTGAGGAGTTTGGGACTTGTAAGGCTCAGCATCCCTGCGTGTCCAGACAGATCCAGTCCACTGGACAACCACACCGGCCCACACAAGATATCATCTTTGTGCTCATGCAGGAACGGACAGAGCCTGGAGCCTGAGACAGACAGAGATGTATTATTAAAGAATGCTGACAGACGTTAGCATAACAGGTGAACGTTTTTAGGTGGTCAAGATGGCTTAATCATCTGGACTCTTTACCTGGCGACTCCTCGATGTCCATAAACTGGATGTCCTCTGAGAAATCAAGCAGATGTGGCTGTCCGTTCTTCTCTCCATTTGAGTGCAAGACATGAGACAATGGGAAAACAAGCTGCCTGTCCACTGCTGTCTCTGCAGCACAAAGTTTTACACAACAAAAGATTAATTTAGGGAATAAAATCAGATCAAACTAGCCCCCAGAATTTACAGTATCTTTTTCTGGTTAAGAGTGACTCACCATTCACTTTGCACAGGCCTGGTGCTTTGTTCTTCAGCAGTGTGACCTGGATTTGTGGGATGTTAGTAATACTGCTGTTTAGCACAAACTTGAAGTCCACATGTCCAACCATGCAGGCTTTGGGTAAGACCAGCTCGAACACGTGCTCATCCCAGCTGGAGCTAAGAGAGAGATATATTACACATTACATGCAAAAAAAGGGGGGAAATGTCTACAGAAACATAATTTTTATTTTAAATTAAATATTTATATTTTATGCATATGTGTGTGTGGGATATTGGTAGAATAACACATGGCTGAAAAGACATCTGAGCCAAACAGATCTGAGGACCAGAAAGAACTGTTGTATACATAAATGTGCGAGTGTCTGATTTTAACTACACATGCTTTCATATTAGGGATGTTCATTTCGGTAATTTTTTCTAACCGACAACCGACGCTCGTTAACCGATTGTTAACCGTTAACTGACAAGATTATTTTAAATTAGAATTTAATTAAATTAGAAAGGATAAGTGTCTGTGACCCGTTAAAAATACTAACATTTGTTTCCCTGGGATTCATTTTACATGCGCAAAAAGCAGCAAACAACAGAACATGAGGATTCTCATGGTCATATCACATCACGCACCTCCAGCACTTCTGTGAGCGGAGAAAAACATAATAAAGCTAGGCTGTGTGTATATATATATATATATATATATATAAAACAAATAAATAGGCCTATATGAGACACATATTTTTACTTAATAAATTAAGAAAATGAAAGAAAAACGGCAACAAGCAGCCTAGTATGCAGTTTCGGTTCATTTAAGTGCTGCACGAAAGGAAACAGACGGCAGAAAGCGGCATCCTGTTTTTCTTTAGGCTTATTTTACAAAAGCACAAATATTTGTTTTTATTGTGAATGTACACAAATAAAGGCAAACCTTTTACAATTCTGATTATCTTTATGATTAAAAGGAGTAGTTTCCACTGTTAGAAAGAAAAAATTCAAGTGATTGCGCCGGCGCCGTATGCATGCACACAGTTAAGCATTGCTACCTTGACAATGCAGCCTGTTCATTATCATAATAAAATACAGTCAGTCAAACATATGGGAAAAAAAAATATGTAGTAAAAAAAATATGCAGTAAAATAAAATAAAGGCCTCCTGTAGCGAATCGATGCGTTTTTGTAAAAAAAATAGGAATGAGAGACCCAACGTTGTTTTCAGTTTCGTTTTAGCCTAAATGAATTCGTTTTGGCTTGTCATTTATATTGCTATAGCTTCTTATATTTTTAATTCTTGTTCTTTTCTAAATACTGTTAATTGAAAGGATTTGTTGTGGAGTGAGGGGAACTAAAATAGCCATTGCTATGTTTACAGTGTTTATTATAATGTTTGTAAACATTTCGCGTCGGCATTATGCCTATTTCTGAATGAAATAATAAAATGCGACTTATACGCAACTTATGTTTTTTTTCCCCCTAAAAACAATTTTTTTAAACGCGTAGCGTATTTTAACCATGCAGCAAACCTTTTTAAATATTTTGATAAATTACTGAAAAAATTAATAATTAACTGACTTTTAAACCGTTTAACTGATTGTATTAATCGGTCAAAATTCTTACGGTCGATTAACCGGTTAAAATAAACATCCCTATTTCATATATACATAATCATGTGTTTTAAGGTCAAAAAAGTACTTTGAGGGCAGGTGCATGTTGTATGAGGGAGAATGTAGGTTGTTTGTGAATGCACACCTGTCGCTCTGTAGCTTCCAAGTGCGTGTGTGTTGCGCGGCGTCGCCGTGGTGCTGCTGGTGGAGGTGTTGTGGATGCCGCCTTTGTTGCTGTTCCTGCTGCACCTCCACCCAGCAAGGGGGCACTGTTGCGGAGAAGCGTGGCGTCAGCGTTTCAAAACGTGTTAGTTCCACCAGAGAAGAAAGTGTCTCTACGTTCAATGGCTGGTCCACCAGGAGGTCAACTCCTGCCAAAAGACACACAGCTTACTATACTGAACATTTCCACGGGTATGAGGCAAACCATCATTTTACTGATAGTGTGATTTACACAGAGAGAGAAATACAACATCAGATGACACAATGAACAAAGAACAACACAGAGGAAAATTTTCCTGAAAGCACACTGTGCATCAGCTGTTTTAAACAGACAAATTTCAATTCAACAGGACAAATTGATTTCTTAAGGCTGATTTCTGATGTGAGGTAGCTGAAGGGGCAAATTAAATAAACTATCTGAACCTCCTGCACTATGTTGGACAGACAAACACACACGTTTTAATATGCTTCCATGTGTCACTCACCTGTGATACCTGGGCTCGAAGGATTTGATGTGGGTTTTGCTCCGTCCAGTAGTTGCTCTGCCCTATTAGACAGGGGGCCGTCGACAAAAATGTCGGCGTCATCGATATCATCACACACACCTCCAATTTGAAGGAAATGAAGCTCTCCACCTTCATATAGGGGAAAAAAAACTTATGTGACCAAGTGCTTAAGCTTTTTATAGTAAACCATGAATAACATAACTGCATGTAGCATGTTTACTGCAAGTAAAAATATCCATCTAAACTAGAAAGTATTACACTTTCTACATTTTCAGGAGAAAATGGGGTTTAGTTGTGCAAAAATTCTTAAGACGATATTCTGGTCACAAGCCAAGTCAATAGAGTATCTATGATATTCTGAATATTCTATATATTAATTAGTTACCTCCTTCAATGAGAGTTGGATACTTTTTTTGCCTGTTTTATCACCCATCAGGTGAACACTAAACAGTCAGATACCTTTAAAAAAAAAAAGTACTGGCAAACCTCTTCAACAAACCACATAATTTATTTATTCATATGCATAAAACGTTGGTTTTCACGAGACTCACCAGCGCATGCGCAACGCCGACCTCATATGTCATCTGCCCGGAGCTGCTTCCGTGTACAACTAAATTATTACGTTTTGAATATGGATATTTTTCTTACAAAAACGCATTGATTCGCTACACGAGGCCTTTGTTCACCCCCCGGAGCCGTGTGAGACAATTTTTTTTATGGATGGGCACTTTTTATTTAACTTCTTTTGGACTGATGCATGCAACACCCGCTGAGTGGCAACTGGTCTGATGCATGCAACACCCGCTGAGTGGCATTAAACAGCTTGAAAGATCAAAGACAATTTTTAATATAACTCTGACTGGATTTGTCTGAAAGAAGAAAGTCATATACACCTAGGATGACTTGAGGGTGGCTAATTTTCATTTTTGGGTGAACTAACCCTTTAAGGAAGGTACGCACATCATACATAGGGTTAGAGGCTTGTTCAACTCGCTAACTGCAAGTATATCTTATAGTAACAGTAATTTTAGTCTTAATCAAACTACTCATTAATACAGTGACGGACAGCAAGAAAACCGAAAGTGAAAGGCAGGGATGGAAGTCCCCTATTCTCCCTTATTCTAATACATGCACAGATGTGATAAGAAATTCGTCTTGAGCAGCAAATCAGCATATTAGAATGAGTTCTGAATGATCATGTGACACTGAAGACAGGGGTAATGGCTGCTGAAAATCCAGCTTTGCCATCATAGGAATAAATTACATTTATGCATACTCAAAAACACACAATAGCAAAGCAGGCATTAATAGACCACATCAACAGATTCATAAACTGAACTGAATTGTTTAATTCAGCCAATCAAAAGAGCAATACATATTATAAAACCAGTACGGTGGACAAACAATTTACTCAACGCTTGACTCACCAAGGTCACTTCTCATGAATGTAAGCAAAACGGTTTGAGAGTTTCAGCCCTGTTTGAGAGTCGGCTGAGCTCACTACGGTTAATGAGAACCTTATTGGTTACCATGGCAATGAGGTATGTGTGGGTAGCAAGCTAAACTGAAAGAAACAGTGAACCTCCACACCTCATATGCCCTTGTTAGTGAACAAGACATGAAGAAGCCCGTTATAAAGCATCTGAGTTGCTTACCTTTTGTGCAGGCACATAGCCGGTCGGTGCCTGAGCAGTAGGTAACAGAGACGAAGGGGTCCACCTCTTCTGTTCCCTCTTTCTTGGGTGGCTCCACCTTGGCCATCACCTCAAGGGTGGACAAGTCTAGAATCATGATGTAACCTGCCTGCGTAGTCACCACCAGGTGTCCAAGTCCAGCCACCTCTCCTCTCTTTTCCTTCCCAACGGCAGTTCCTATGCTTGGGCCCGCTGTCACTGCGGACGCAACCATCCCCATGCCATTTTTGAGCCCTGAAGGTGTAGACTCCTCTGAAGTTTCCTCTCCGTCATCTTCTCTGCCATCTAGCACATCTGGCGGCAGGAGGAGGAGAGATGTGACGGCATCCCGTGGGTCACGAATCTGCTGGACCTTCACTGGTTCCTCCTCCAGGGTCACGATACGGGTGGTGTAATTCAACTTGTAGAGCGCAAGGTATCCGCCGCCGCCACCACTGCCCCCTAGAGGTCTGGAAGTATGGGGGGGCAGGATGAGAGGGGTCTGTGGAGGAGAGGTGCCCGAGTGGGCGTCATGGCCATTGGCCAGTGTCTGTCCTTTGCGATGGCCACAGAGAGCCGAGTGCAGACGGTTGAGGGTGTTTAACACCTCCACCTGATTGATAGCGCTAAGGGACTCTACGGAGCACGGCTGAAGACCGACTAACAAGTGTAATCCATCACTGCAGGGCGTGATGGAATCAACGTACAGGTTCTCTTCCTCCAATGCTTTTGGCAACCGCAAGCACTGCACCAGAGAACCCGGCCGTGGAGCCAGAGAGCTCCACTTTTCCCCATCCAAAGGTCCGAGCCCAGCCGCCGCATCCGCAAACTGCTGGATGTACGTGATGGGAGGGTCCTGCAGCAACAGCTGCTCGTGAGAGTCAAACTCCATCTCGATAATCTGCGGGACAGTAAAGCCCTCCTCGTGAAGCCCTTTGCTCATCAGGTTGTTCATCTGGGTGAACACCTTCCCTGAAGACTTCTCATCTGCTTCCTTGATGCTGTACAGGAGTAGTACAGGCATAGTCCTTTGCACAGGGGCGGCTGGTGGTAGGTTCGGGGAGCCCAGGTCTGTGGGGGGATTACAGGACTCGATCTCCATGGGACCCTGGTCCGGTGCAAGCCCCGCAGAGGCAGCAGTCCTTACTGGGCTATCCATGGAGCGCCGAGACGGAGGTGGACCTAGTGGAGAACTAGCTGCTGACCGGTAGCTTAGCAGTCCTCCGGCCAGCAGGCAGGGGAAAGGAATGTTGTGGTGCTCGGCCAGCCTCTCCTTAGCCTTGTCGGATTTTGGGGGGCCCAGTGAGTGCAGAGTGTTGGCCCCCAGCTCCTCCAGGTCTTTAACTGTGTCCTCCAGCACACTGGCCACCACCTCCCACTGCAACTTCTCAGGCTGCTGTAGGACACTGAGAGCTGTGACTCCCAAACTCACCTCCATTGTCTCTTTCTGACCCAGTGGGCCTACACAAATGGAAAGCAGGAAAACAATAAATAGGGTGTTTGGTGACAACATTGAGTGCAGATACAGTATGTTGAAAAAACATTGTTAATACATGAAAACCAATGTCCAAGTGCTTTTACCTGTGACCGACTCTGATCTGGAATGCTCTTCGCTGTCCGAGTCCTCTATCTGATCATCACTAGGTACAAAAACACAGGACATGTTCAATAAACACAACAACAGAGTGTAAGACATCTTTAAAAAAAACGTAGGTATGTATATGTAGGTTTAAAACCTGTCTCCCTCTAGTTTGGGTAAGTCAGAGCAGCAGGTGGCCTCTTCTAGCCAGGAGAGTGTGGGCCTTCGTGATTCTGTGCCCGTGAGACTCTGCTGCTCGCTGCCGGACAGGATCAGCTGCCTCAGGATGGCTGGGTCATATGGGTTCACCTCAAACTTTAAATGCACCTGCACAGGTGAGAAAAACATGGAGGTTTAGGTGTACTGCGCCATTCTCATTCACTTTAGAAATTAACATAAGAGATGAACAACAAACCTTCATAAGCTTTGAAACATCCCAGATGCAAATCTTCCCCCTTTTGGTTGCCGTAGCAAGGAAATGTGGGCAGCTTCCGAACCCATAGCACACGATTTTATCCGAACCATCTGCACTGGGAAACTGAGCTGGGCTGGTGGCCAAAGTGACGGATAGCGGAACGTTTTGGGTGTGCTCCCCTTTCACAAATGGACAGTTGGGCGAATGGCGCTCATGCTCGGACCTAAAAAAGGTATAAAAGATATTATTAGGATGGTCACAGGGAGGAGTTTCCTCAGCTCTTTTGTAGGCCTTTGTTATGGTTCATGTTTGAGTGAGTGTGACATTGCGGTTGTGTTTTAGTGGGGTGCTTCTCACCAGGGCTCATCTGTAGGTTCCCAGCACACTAAACACACACTGCAGGTGAAGCACATGGCCCGGTCATCACCTGTGGATGCAGGCTAGAAGGAAGAAGACAGAGTTGTTAGCGTTATCTATAGTGCAAAGAGACATTCAAAGACCTAATACAAGGGGACAAAGACGACACATTATAGCACTGAAATGAGTGCTTTGGAAACATGTTGTGACATTTTGAATATAACTTAAGAAAACTGCAAATCTGATCTGCTCTTCAGCATGTAGGGCCCTATGATTTCCGAGACGCGGACGGAATCCAGTCATAAAAATGTAATTTACTATATATAGAGCAAAATGTAACAGAATTGGCCAAATTTAGATGGATACATCAAAAGTAGGTCAGTACACTTAAATCAAAATGTGATATAAACTCAGGGCCGCTGCTGGCCAAATGGGTGCCCTAAGCAGAATTGTATTGTTTTGCCCCTCCCTCAAATATTATGGAAGTAAAAAAAAAAACACTATGGGGTAAAAAAAAAGTAATTAAATTGTATTTATAAATTACAATTGAAGCTCTAGACAGGAAGCCTACCTATGGCTATGATTTTATTAATACAGTTGTCTGATTGATTTTATAGTCTCAAGCATTCAGAAATCACACAAAAGAAAATTAAGCAGTTTTACTACGATAAAACCATTGTTAATTTTTGTAAAGGCTGTGATGTCCACATGTTTTTATTGAGGAAATTATAGAGGCTGTAGCATTTCTATCGCAAAGGCCAAAAATGAAAGATTAAGTGGATATTTGAATTAAATGTTTGGTCAATATTAAGGATTTGATCGTCCTGTAAGTGTAACAACAGCAATTACCAGGCCTTTGGCACCTTTTGCAGGCATATGTAATAATGTAATGTACATAAATAGTTTATTTTGTATTACATTATGTATTTTAACAGTGTTATTCAATGAAACCATTATGATTATTATTAATTAAAACAATCATTATTGCCTCATTGTTTTTATATAATGCATTTTAAGTCATGGAAACTACAATATTAAGGCAGATGCGTTGTTGGTGAAATTATTACCGACATTAAAAACGTTATTAACATCAACAGCCAAAAAAGTTTCACAGGATTATGAACGTAGGCTAAGTTACCTGAAAGTAATGCACGGGCTTCATCTTGGGCTTTTTTTTTTTTTCTTTTCTCTGAGCTGTCTATCAATTATGATCATTTGCAGTCAGCCGCAAACATGAGGTGAGGTGCGAGCGGGCGCGTATGCGGGAATGGCGCGTCACGTGTGCTATTATAGCCTACTGCCTGCGTTCACCGTAAAATGCATTTTTTCCATATATAATTATATATATAGATGTTCATGTTTCTATTTTTTATTTATGTATATGTTAATATTAATATAGAACAAACTTTTTTTTTGGAGCAACTGGGATGGTGCCCCCCTGGGAGTTGGTGCTCTACGCAAACTGTGTACTCTGCGTTTAGGGAGTGGCGGTACTGTATAAACAAGTGGCTGTGAATCTTAAGTGGCAAAAATACCATTTAAATATGAATCCTGCATGTTCTGCTTGTCTCGGTGTGAATGAACTACACACATACTGAAGCACGTGTCACACTTGTGGTGTTTTCAGTCTCTGCTGTCTCAATATATGAGTAGCCTACATGAAAACATGAACAATCTTTAGAACTGCTCTGAGAGTTACTTTATGAGCATTTTACCATTTCTTTTGAGAAAAACTACTGTCATATCATATAAACAGAGAAACTTAATGGTCTTCACAGCAACCCATCAAAATAAATGTTTGGTTTAACTTAAAGAAACCGTGACAGAAATATTACTTAATGTAATGATAGTACTACTGCTACTAATAAAATTATTATTAAAACATTATTTTTAAAGGAATATTTACCAGAAAAGTTATTTACCAGAATTTATTTAGCAGAAAAAATGTAAATACACAACACAGTACTTCTGGGGGGAAAAATAAATAAAATAAATATTTTTTATATAAAATATATTAATTAGAGATGTTTTTGATTATTAATATTTAATGAAACCATTAAAATGGAATACAGAAAATTAATGGAAAACAGAATTTGGTAAAAA